TTATAATATTATTAATATCAGTTATGGTAATTGAATAATTTTAGCCCAAACTAACGTGTTATTTTTATATCTTTACCCAGATAGCACATGATATTAATAGAACGTATATGAACGTTCTAAGAACATTGGTACATTCATAAAATGTTCTATGAACGTTTTTAGAAGTTTGGTGCTGTATGGGTATGTTTTATTACACTTAATTTCTATCTTTACTCTCAAAACGAAATACACTTAGCGACGTTATACGACTTGTTTACCAAAATCAATTATTATTTTCAAGCGTTATTTTGGAGTACATAAATTCCACGCAATGGAAACCTATTAGCCAATTCATTAATTATTCCATACGATTAATTATTCTATCGCAACATGGCGACGGTTTAAAGAAGCAAGAGATTATTCCTGGACGGCGACGCGAGAACGATTTTGCTCGAGGAATTTCAAGTTAGTCGAGATTTAAAGTGGACTTTAACGTGTAGTTCGCGACACAAATTATCTCGAAGTCAGCTTTAAAACTAAAGCTCCTTTAAATTTTTTGTAAGCCGCTTTCCGCGATGCTGAGTCCCGTAAATGAGATTCACGATTGAGGCAGTAAATTGAAGCGGCGTTTGTGCAGAAAAGCAGCAACATTTCCAGAGAAATATCCAACTCGTGAAACATTCCGAGAAAAGTGGCAAATACTTGATGACATACTATTTCCAGGAAATAAATTCTTTACTGTTTACGTGTGTTATGCACCCTAATTACCTTTACATGAGTGTAAAAGTGGAGGGAGTATCAAATAATACTTAAAAGCACGGAACTGTTCATTTTTAACTATTTATCGAACAACAGATAAAATAGTGCCAATAGTTTCCGGCCAACGTATAATTTTACGATAATTTTTGTCAATCTGTTTTTCAGTTTATAAAATTACAAGTTAATAAAATTCTTATTGTAATCACAATTTAACAATGCAATATTTTAAATACCAGAATAAGTTAAATTTTGCGAGATCAGTTCTCCAAGATTCGAGGTATTTTTGGTAAATATTCATGTCATGTAGATGATATTTAGAAACATGTTGGAACAATTGCAACTAAAATCGATCCTAGTGTAAACCAACACTGATCTCAACCACTCGCATTGGTCGCAACACAAAGTTGGCTGAATAAACACATTCGCATGCAGTAAATAAACAACGTCTAAATAAATCGATCGTTTGAACCTATATTAATACGACGATGTAGTAGTGATCGCAATCCGTTCGAGTGTGCAAATAAATAAATAAAGCGGACAGAGAGTAGGTAAACGTCCAGAGAGAACGAGACGTTGAAATCGATTGTACGCTGATATCGAGATGGGAAAAGAACGGAAATGGGTCGCGGAACGTCGTCGCAATAAATACACTGGAAAAAATATAGTAGAAACGACGCCATCCTGTAAGGATAATGTAATATTGTGCATCGAGCAACATTGCTGATGGGTTCGAGAATGACTCGTTTTGATAAATAAATGGACCTTTAATTAAAATTCATGCGTATCGCTTTTATGCTGCGACGTTGTGAGTTTTGATTTTAATTTGATATTACAATAATAATAAGATAGAAAAAGGAAAGGACTCTATCTGTTTTCAATCCATAGAACTGAAATATTCAAGTTAAACTTTTGTGTCTTATTAACATTTATTATTTTGTTCTAAAAACATTACACATATTTTAAGATTGAACAATCTTTCCAAAGTCCTCGAACAATATTTCTTAATTTCAGCAATTTGACAAAAAATAAATATATTTGTTGGCACAAATCAATAATTAATATATCTCTAACAGGATCTAATCTGTATTACCATCCTATTAATTTCAGTCCGTATTGACAAATGCTCTGCCGAGATATTTGCTCACTCGGTTATTTACCAACCCGGCAATTCGCCATGAAAACCGAAACCAATCGTGATTAGTGCGTGTAGCATGGCCGCAATGATTGCAAAAGGACGTTACGTGGAATTAATAAACGTTTCGATCGATGTATTTGTTTAAACACCGATTTATTCATCCATGCAAAATCTCATTATCCACATTCCGACAGAATTCTCTATACAGTGGCTGCCAAAAGTTTCCAATCAATGAGTAATTTCACTAATTGGATTGCTTAGATAAAGAGAATCTTTATATAAATAAAGATCTAATATACAAATACTTAATATATTCTAATATTTAAAATATTGTATTCTTAAGTTGTGTGTGATTATAGTAAAAATTTTAACTTAATATAAACAAAAGACAGATTAACAAAAATTATTGTAAAACGATATTATTAATTATGTCAGCTAGAAAATTGTTGGCAGCTACTGTATTAATATTATCGAATTATATATGAGTGCAATGTACCTACTGTTATACTCTTTCATAAAAATTGGATTTTATAACCGTTTCAAAATGTACACGAAAAGAATAGTTTTGTTAAAATAAAAATTTAGCTAGATATGTAGATATGAAAATAACTTTATTGAACCATCAAAATGATGATGGACACTCAAACATGATGAGCAATGCTATAAAAAATTTTGGTATTCTAGCAGTTTGCACGTTCCTATATAATTATTTTAATGATCCATTAAAATTATTTTTAGATCTATATTTGATTTTTAGCTACTTTAGCAAAATTGTTCTTTTCGCATAGATAATATTTTTAGATTTGAATTGAATTTGAACTATTTTCAAACCATGAACCTTGTATAAGCTATGAACTATGTATTGTATTTCATAAATTAGAATTAATAACAAATTTCAGTTCTCTTGTTATGGTTTACGTTTTTTTTTTAATTTGGTACAAATTTTTACAATATAAAATAACTTAAAAGATTAAAACGTATAAAATGTTATCAGTATATGAGCGGAAAACACCAACAGAAGTACCATCTCGAGTGTGCCGTCAATCGGAAGTAGGTACCATCCAATTTTAATATATCTCTTTAGCAAAATATCCCAGCATCACTACCTTTTTACATGTAATTTCGGAAGGATACGCGCGATACCTTCGACGGCATATAGCCACGGATACTTCGATCATATATATGTTACCTAGTATGTGTATAATCAGCGTATAAAGCCGAGTGAGTAGTTTCACTGATCCATTCACTACTAGATCCTTTCAACGCCCATTCAACGACTCAGAGCAATGCAGCGAATAATTAGATGTGCCCGTTGAAAGCTCGGATCACGTTTACACATACAGTTAAACGACACATTCGTGATTAGTATCGGTATAATGTAGCATCGACACATTACAAAACGAATCGCCACAGAGACGAAAATGATTTCGCGAGCCGTGCACGTAACGAGCGTCACAATGACATCACGCGAACAGTCGGCCGGATGTATAATAGTCTTAATTAAAATGGTGGTCTAATGAACATCGCTAACTGCTGTAATCCGATATGCCTCATTGATAATCCTCCTACTGTACCGTCGAATACAAATGTAGGGATAGAGTCTGTCTGTATGCTGTGCTAGAATAGGATGTCCTATATGTGTATCTGTTTTCATCTTTCTTGCAAATGCTTATTTTATTAATTTTATTAATTTGAAAATTTTATAAATTAATGTAAAGTTTTTATTAAGATTCAATGTTTATTTATAATCAAATCCTCTTTAATAAAAATAGAAGTGCATGATACATTTTTTAGATATTTAATATCAAATGTTATTATAAAAGAAATTTTAAATTGAAATTTTAGTATGATAAAAATCTTGTAAATGTATATGTATATAATTCATAACTTTTCAAAGATTTTAATTTACAATTTCGTGCAACTTGAAAAACTCATATTCCAATATTTATGTGTATCAAGAAAAACTCCGAATATATAGAGTTGATTAAAGAATCCAAAAATAAATCCTACATGTGCAGAATATTAAAATCCACGTGAATGTAAGCACAGTCAATTGCGAGCCAAAATACCAATGTTTGTACGTAGCATAGAATCCTTCTATTAAAACAAATTTCCAGAACATTTTGTCCATTAATTATAATCATATTCAGGTATACAATTTGTCTTTGCCCATTAATATTAAAGACAAATTATGCATAGCTGCTTATCAGCCTTATTTGTACTCACGCTAATTTTATATCAACGCAAGTTTTAAATTCTATTATCTACTGAAAGCGCAATACAAAAGCATGATTAAATTATATACTCGATTAATTAAATAAAATTAAAAACAACAAAACTATCTTTCTCTACGAATTTTTTTGGCGGAAGATTTCTACATTCACTTTACAGAATGACTTTTGGTCCACGTGTGACAAGATGTTGGAAGCTCAGTATTTATAGTTGTTACATTGTACTCCCATCGGGAGAAGCTCGTCATGCGGAGCCACTTTCTCGTACACGATGCTGGTGAATTTTTTACGCTTAATTTCCCGACAACCTGTACGATGGCAGTCTCATGCTACGTCGACGTGAAATCGACGAGACGTACGTGCTACAACGTGACGCGGTCGTAGTGCTCGTTGACGACGCGATACGTGGCTCGTTTCGCTCGTAAGCACGTTCCCGCTTTCTCGACCGTAGTCGATACGGGATCCATAGTGCGATACGTGAATCGTCGTGTTAATGACGTCGATAGCGGATTGTTACGCGACTTCGGTTCGTAAACGAACGAACATCGACTAGGAACAAAGATATACAAAAAGCAAATATTGAGATAAATATTAGATAATTAAGATGTTTTAAATAGAACCAAAATTAAAATTGTGAGCATTATAAGAAACATTAGAAGAAACGTTATTGTATCAAATAATTTCATAAGTTAATTTCTCGATATATATCATGCTTCCAGTTAATTAAATTATCATAATAATCTTCATTAATTATAGAATAATTTATTTCGTTTTATTTTAAATGTAGGAAATAGTAAAGAAAGTAACTCGATTCTTTTTTCATTTGTTATAAGAAGAGAATTTAAGAAATAAATGTGACCATTTGTTCAAAATTGTAAACACTGTAGAAGACTTACCGTGTTGCGATAAGGGGACAGGTAATGCTCGGCGAAGCCCAAGCTTCCGGACTCCAAGGCGCACACTCATACAATCTAAGTTCCCGGCCTGAAACTGCACCAAAAACACTACGCCATCCGCCGGTGCATCCAGCGGCAAGGCCGAATCCACTCCCGGCTCCTCGCGAAGTGCTTGCACTACTTCCGGCTCCATCTTCGCTACTCTCACTACTAGCTCGCCCATTCTGCAAGTATACACAACAACATATTTATGTCATTTAACATAAACATCCAATTTTTAATAATTGATAAAAAAGTTTTTTCATGTTTCAAGGAAATAAACGTGTTGAAGATTTTATAATTAAAAAAAATTAATAGTCTAAAATTTAAGATTTGAAAGCTCAGCAATTAAAGATCTTCAAAACACTAGAACTTGGAAGACTTTAGGTGTAGCTGCAAAAATAAGACAGACAATTAAAAAAATTACAGAAAACAGCTATATATATAATGCTATTAATTGTCCAATATGCGCGAAGAGAGTTATTAATTAATTATATGAAAATACTTCAGCAACGATGAGATAAAAAGAAAAATTAAAGATTAAAAGAAATCAATACTACTGAAAAGACGGCGTTGTCGAGTTCTTCGTTTTATATCTGCAGCATCATGTCAAGTGGAACGAGACATTCGGTTACAATTATGTTATTGTACAATTGACGTTTATCTTGTTCGTGACGTGTAAAAAAAAAGAGTACGATATTTTTCCGCTTTAGATGAGCACCCGTAAATTAAAAAGAAAAAGAAAAAGGAAACCTATGACTAAAATTTTTGTTGTTTATATGTTACGTTAATAATACCTAAAGCAGTTATAGCTAAAGAAAAATGATTTACTGCATGTTAATATACACATTATAATAAAAAGTATTGTAATATTGTAAATACATAATAATTAAAAAATTGCTATATTATGATTACCTTAAACTATTTTTTCTACTCTACATATTTTCCATTGAAGTTTCATTGAAATCAAACCTTGCCAATTTGTCTCTTGTTAGGATCGCAATCGCGTTAAAGTCATTGGGAAACAACCTAAGAAGAGCATTAATCTTAAACGACTTCCTGCCTCTTTCTCTTGGTGAAGGAAGGATCAAACTTCGTCTTCGGCCTCCGTAAAGCTCCGGAAAAGTTCGCGTAAGTAGCGGCATAAGGAGATACATCCCACGTACAAGGAGGGACCGGAAGTTCTGACGAAGTCGCTCTCAGCCGACGAACGACATCCGATCGAAAAGTTTATCTGGCAGATTAAAAAACTCTACGTGACAACCGTTGAACTAGTCCTATGTATTTTATATGGAAAACGAAAATGTTATGCACGAAGCACAATTGTTTTTATCGGATCAGCTTATTTAAGAATGTATGCGTCACATCTCAAAGCCTTAAAAAAATTTAAGGCAAAAATATAAAAATTTCATCGATTGTTCTATTATTAGTTTAATCACATTTTGCTGCAATATATAATAACTTTTAAACAAATAAGAGAGAAAGTAAATCCAAATGAACTTTTGCATTAATATTTATTAGAATTTTATTAGTATATATAAAACATTTGATTTAATTCGTAATACGACGATCTTATTAAATCTGTCCAACAGAAAGAAGTAATAGATACTTACAGTCGTAAGTATCTGTGTAAAATTTGAGCACAATTTTTTTTAAAAGTTTAAAAGTTATTTAATTTTTTGTTAATCTTGATTTTTATGTAAAATCATATTTTGCAGTAGTTATTTGCAAATTTGGACGTAGAATTAAATCAAATTTTTTATATATATTAATAAAACTTTAATAAATATAGATTCAATAAAGTTCATTTGGATTCACTCTCTCTTACTCGTTTAAAAGTTATTTATTGCAGCAAAATATGGTTATTTTGCTGTATAAAGCCATTATAAGCTAAATTATTTGTTTCTTTTTTGCAGTTGATTTCAGAGCGTATTTATGATCAAATTTTTTTTGGCTGATATTAACTGATATTGGTTTTTTAGCTGATATTTTTGGCTGATATATAATATTTAGCTTATATATTGTACAGCTAAACATTTATAAACTACTAAAAAAGAAAAACAAAAATGTAGCTTTCAATTAACGTAACATATTATTGCATTATATAATTACTGATAGATTAAATAGTAAAATTATATAGTGTGTCGAGTGCTTTAATATTCGGAAATTTAAAGGTTATAAAATCTAAAGAGTCAGCAATTCCGAGAATTTTAAAGAATCTAAAAACGCAAAACACTGAAGTTTAAAGAATTCAATGTGTTTCTAGAATCTTGGAATCGGAGAATCATTACTTGTTCCTTTTTCCTTCGATCCGTTTCAATGCTCCGCAGACATCACAATCGTCGTTGGCGTCTTATCGGTGTGCGCCGCGACGTCGATTTTCTTCCGTGTCGCAGCAACCGTGAAATCGAGCGAAAAGAGCGGAGAAGGGAGACGTCGCGCAATCTACGACGAGGGTACCAATGTGGAATCAAGCGAAAAGAGAGAAATATTAAACGGCCGAGAGCGAATACCAAACGCCATAGGAGAAGGGAAAGGTCGAATAGGTCGATCGAATAGGTCGGAAAAGTTCGGAAGGCGCGAACGAGTCGAGAGAAGAGTTATCAAGCGGCAAGGAACAGCGTCACTTCGCTCTTTCTCGTTCCGTCTCTCTGCGGCGACGTTCACGATTTGCATCGTCGACGATTCCGTTCGAGATAATAAGGAGACGCTCATGAGAAATTATTGGCAAGTAAAAATAGATGCCTTTTATTCAGAATAAAGACTATATAATATTCAATTAAATGGAGATATTTCACTCCTTAAATAGTTACATAGTTAAAAAAACATTTGATAGTTGTGTCAAAATCAATCGTTGATAAAATTTTTATGTAGAATTTTTAACATATCTGAGTGTTAACATTCGGATAATATATTAATTATTATTACGTATATATTAATTGATACAACATAATATAATTGTGTTATTTGAATATCTTGAAATTGATATTTCTTAGTGTAAAATAACACAGTTTCTAAGTAAACAATTAGCATAAAAATAATGTATTTAACAAAATAATTTAATATATTAATAATTAATTTTACTAAAAACGTGTTTATTTAATGTTACCATATGTGTTAATTTTACTGAAGAAGTATACATCCACAATTTACTTATAAATTGTGCTTATAAATATTACATTCTTTGTATACATTTTTTTAATAACATTTGTGTTACTTCGTAATATATTCATCTTGTGTTAAATTAACACAAAAAATTGGATGGACATGTAAAATATGTTAAATTTAATACAAAATTTTCCAACCGTTTAAAGAGAGAATTTTTTAATGCTATTATTTTCTAAACCTCAGATCTCTTAAATACTGACAATAAAATATATATCGATTCTATTACATATACACATGCATGTGCAAGTGAGCACCTAAAAGAGAATATATTCAAATTATAATTTATCCTTTAAAAGAACAAGGTAATAATCCACCAAATTACTCTAGTATTGAATTTGCGGTTTTTATACATAATTACATATAACTTTGTAAACTTTACCTAAAATAAAACAATTGCAATCAAAATCGAAGGCAGACAAAAAATAGCTAAAGAGAACAATCCGTTGTAATCGAACTGGATACTGACTGTAGAGTATAAATCGAACGGCTTTGATTTGCGTCTGGTTGGACTCCTAAAAGAAGCGATAACACGTGATGTACGAGTTTTTGCATCCTCCCTGTTTTCACATTGCACATATCTCGCTCGAACAGAGAAACAGAAAGATAGATAGATAGATAAAGAGGGAGAGAGAGAGAGAGAGAGAGAGAGAGAGAGAGAGAGAGAGATTTCCGTTCATATCTTTCCACGTTCTTTCCTTCCACATATCGGCAAACCTACGCGAAACATTTGACCTGTATCGTATATTCTAATTTGAAGTTTGTTCTCTTTTACTGTTTCTTTTCACTCGTTAATTATTTTTTATTGCTATACTTTTTGTTGAATATCTATCTCTTGATATATCGTGACATCATTTTCTTGTAAATGACGTAGCTACGTGTAATTTCTATTTTTATATTCAATATTCTCAAAATTGCCTATCGGACCACCATACTTCTGTTTACGAGCCGCTATAATATAAGTGTAATCGCAGCAATATTTTCACAAGCATTAATCCCAACTGTACATTCATCGGAAAGCCAAGGATTAAAACAAGATTAAACACAGAATATCTCTATCCACTCGCAGCTGTACGAGAGAGCTCAGCGTGAGATGGAAGAGATCTCACGATCGCGTCCTAAATCATCTCAGCTAATTTCGTCTAATCTTTACGCCGGTAGTAAAATAATAATTTCCTGTAAGCGCAGGCATAGGTGGCAAATTAATAACAAAGTGCAAACAATTTCCGGGCAAAAAGTAGCATTTTACGTAAAAAAAAATGTCCTGCGAACACACACATACCCACTATATAAATATTATAGTTTGGATTAATATAACAATGAAGAATAAAGAGAAAATCTTAATCAACTCCGTTGCTTTCAACTTGAAAATCTTCGTAATAGCAAAAATTTATAGCAGATTATAATTATTATTATAATCCTAAGAAATGATCAAAGTCCTGTAATAATATTAAAATTAGAAATCTCTGAATGTATTAGTACAGTGAGTATTATTTGAATATATGTAACATATTAACCACGTAAATTAATACACCTGCAATGAGACGCTCCTGTAATACAATACGAATTTGAGTTGCTAGTAACATATCGTAATATATCGTAGTTAGAATTTCAGAAGCATAACATTGTGGTTTTAACTGCAAGACAAGCGCGACTGCTGTTTCCTATGTAGGGATTCTAATTGCCAATAATTCTGCAAATAAGTTAATCTTTTATTAAGCTTATTTAATTTCTTTTCTTGTAATCTACTTGATCCTGGTTATAAATTAATTGTAAAGATTATTATTTTGATTTACAATACAGAATGACAAAAAAGTTTGGCTACAAAGTTTTGTATGTTTAGCAAATCATTATTCAGGTAGCAAGCTGACGTTATTTGTCGTCATTTTCACGTTAAAATGACATTAAAGACGTCATTTTGATATCAAAATGACGACAAACAACGTCAGCTTGCTACTTCGCGTATTAAAAGAAAAATTCTAGGATGTTAGTTACAATTTATTAAATACCAAAAAGTTTA